CCGCTTCAGCAGCTGTGAAGACAGAGCACAGGCGCAGTGCATGAATGATTGTTTTTGTTGCAAAAGATGCTTTGATCATTTGGGAGTTGTTTTTGAAATCTATGTCATTGGGGGTTGGTTGTTCGTGGTTCGGTTGATTGCCAGAACTGTTTGGGGGAAGTGCCCAGTTCCTAGTTCTTGAAGAAGAGCTCAGAAATTTGAGGGTCAGTTCTTTTGTTGTTGATCCCTTTTCTCCATCAGTCAGACATCCTCCCACTGCTCCCCTTTGTTTTTGCTTATGATGTTCTGGTGAACTAGCCTTTAAAACATATATATATACACACTGTATACATTCACATGTTTTTGCACGCAGTGAACAAAATTCCAGTCTCCACCGTTCTTCTTTAAGCACAACTTCAGAACCTTCCCATGTTGAAGCTGCAAACAAGCCGACAAAAAGAACCCGGACGAAAAGTCCCAGCTCGGATGACTTTAGAGTTTGAAAACGCACCCAGGCAAAACACAGCATGTACTTCAAACCTTTCTCGAAACGACCAAGAATCTCTCTCTCTCTCTCTTATTCCTTGTCGTTGCAAGGCACCAGCCCTCCGTGGTCGGCGGCCCTCGTCGCAGTCTTCGCGCTGGGGGCCCTCAGACCGAAGTGCGGCAGGAGTTGGTCCTCAGTCCTTTGTGAAGACGGACTTCTTCAGACCTTCGAGTCCAGCCGAACGCGAGCGCCGACGTGGGGTGTCAAGCTGAAAATCCATCCGTTCATGAAGGTGTTCAAGCTTCGTACGGCCAGTAGAAAGGTGACAGGTCAAGGTCTTGAAACCGAAAGGATTCTCACGTCAAAGGAGTTTGCCCCGAACAAGTCCTCCCTCTTTGCAAGAGTTGGCCCCCCAGTTCTCAAACTTAAGAACACGTTTCCTTTTCGGAGAATGCACCTTGGGGGATCCATCATATCAATCTTGAGCCGCTCTCTGAGAGATGACGTGGAATTTCAGGATCACCCCGGCTGATTCGCTGTGTCTTGTTTCTTGTTTGGAACCGCCAGGCCCCTGAGCCAGGCCCTGCCAGGTGTTGCTCCTAAAATGGTCAGCTTCAATTCCAGCTCCTCAAATTCCCTGACATCAGCGCTTGGATGCATCAAAGACTCCTCCCGAACCCATAGAACTGATACGAAAACACATTGAATACATACCTGTACCATCCAATGGGTGTTCAATAGAGATCCCTAAGTGTTGCAGGGTAGTCCAGCAGGACACCCTGACAGGATGGTCCTGGACACTGGCAGTTCAATTCATCAGTCGCTCCGAGTCAACAGCTCCCCCGCCCCCCCGCTCCGATGCGAAGCGAGACGTCCCTGGCAGCCGCAGGAGCTCCCAGCCCTTCGACGGGGCTGGTCTCCCGCCTGCGCCGCCTCGTGGTCGCGACCTCGGCGTTGCGGTCGCTGGGGGTACGACTTGGGTGCTGTAATGGTGGTGGACAGAGGTGCAGTGGTTGTTGAGAGGTGCAGACCCTGATGGTCTCATTCCCATCTTTTTTTATCCAGCTGGGTCCAGCGGTTGACCGACACACTAGTGTTATAGCACATTTGGCAGGTGTTTCGGGGGACCCATTCACCCTCTCGATTTGGGAAGGACTTTAGAAACATCCTCAGGCCTCAGGATGTCTTTTTCCTGCCAAGTTTGAAGACTGTTCCTCCGTCGACTGCTCTGTCAGCCTCGCATTTGGCTCGCCGTGTTCGCCCAGAACATGGAGTCGCCACGCGAGACGGAGGACGGAACTGCCGATGGCAGGGGCCGAACAGGCAGGAGCATGGCAGTGTGAGGGAGACTGCACCAGATGGTGGGTTTGAATTGGAACGTAGTTGAACGTAGATGTAAAAACATATGAAACAAGTATATAGTATAGGCTCTAGGTTGCTTTTTACTGCGAAGCCACGAACGAGCCGCGTCTTTGCAACTTTCTTCATCGATGAGCCTTTTGACCTGCTGAGTGGGTTCCAAAGCTGCTCAGTCGAAACCTGCCCTATGGGGGGTGCGACCTTCTCACCAGGTCCGCCAAGGGCGCTGGGCACCAGCATGCTGAGTGAGCTGTGGGCGGGGATGAGGACCTTGCAGATCCCCAGTACTGCGGTTGCGCAAACTGTAGTACCCTCATGTACACTCCTTGAGTATACCCCTGTAAAGAGTCCTTACACACCCCTGGTCAAAACCAATTCTTAAGGATTATTCTCAACGAAACACTCCTGCACTTTCCCGACAAGATGGGACAGTAACCATGCGACGGTGTGCAGGTTCGAATGAGCAGCATTTTGTTTGAGATGGAAAGAGGATGAAGAGGGAACTCAACTGCCGTGTAGGCTGCTTACTTGATACCGGTGTGCGTAAGCTTGCGCAGGCTCGCACTTCCATAAGTTATTTGCGTAGGGTTGTTGCATCTGAGTAGAAACAAACACAAGTCTGTGCTGTTTGCCATCTGCTCAGCTACGCATCCCGGCACTAGGCTTGTGTGTCAGATCTTTGTAGTGTATCCCGCAAAAGTGCTACATACTCAATTTTTGCTTGGTCAGGTCTTTCAGAGATAACATTTCTCAAATCCACGATATGAAAAGCTTTAGAACGTGTGCTGTTTATTGAGCGCACGCTGGAACTCAGATAATTGTGGGTCAAGTCCAGGTGAGCAAGAACAGCATGGCAGAATCTTCAGCAATCATTTTAAGAATGGCATTCTGTAGGTTGTTTCTTTTTTGCAGCTCAACATCCTCAATACAGGAATCTTTTTCTGCAACATTTCGTGAGATGTGACGCATTTTTCCGAAAAAAGAGGTATGTCCCATCCGCCTCTTTCTGAAGGTATGTCCCATCCGTCTCGAAGCACAGCGAAGGTGGAGACGGGGCCTGTCTAGCGCTAGCGTTGGGTGTCGCACGGCTGGTCTCCCATCTATTCTGAGTAGCAACGAGCAAGGCTTTTCTCAAGGAGCAAGTCCCGCAGGTGGTCCGTCCCATAGGTCGCGGAGATGAAAGCGAACTGGGAGTCTTCTTCTCCGACGGACTCTCTCCGAGTGCACGGAACTGGGGCAGTCTTCGGACTTGAGTCCCCAGAACACCCCTCCACTGAGAGTGCCAGTTCCGAACTTGCCAGGCTCAGCTGGCAGCACAAACGCAGGCAGGGTTGAGCGAAAATGCTGAGGACCCTCTCCCAAAACACGGGTCCCTAAACCTTCGTTGGTGACTTTGCATACTTGAAGACCAGTTGGTGGATTTCGCTAAACGAGGATTCCTGAATCTCTTCCAGCAGCTTTTTGTCGGATTGCGCGTTGGATTTGCCTCCCGCTGTCACGGACCTTCGTTTTCCCCAGGCGATCATGAAGTGCCACAAGCCACGGAGTGCGGCACTGCAGGTGCGTTGGTGTGTTGAGTCGGGAAAAAGATGCTTCTCCAGAGCTCGATCACGAACAGAATGAGTTGGAACGGTGGAAAGTTGTAAGTTCTCCGACTCGTTGATGAGCTTGTGACACAGGAACAGTTGATGTTGGCTTGAAAGCTGCAAATGCCGGGGGAACAGAGCAAGTTGTCAACGGCTGCAGAGACCAAGTGTCAGGCACCATAGGAGCTAGTAGGGGTCTCGGGCCAGTCCATTCCCTTTTTGCACGTTGACTTCCACTGGAGGTGATGCCGAAAGCAGCTCCAGCCTCAGCGGCCTAGGTGGGAGCCTTCCAAGCACCAACCAGCTTTGCCTCGGTGATGATCCGCACGCCGTTTGGTCCATCTCGTTCGTGGGAACCGCCACTAGAAGAATCCGAGGACAGCAATTGGAGCATTTCACCCAAACAGGCATCTGCGGAACACATCGCTAGTAGGGTGGAGGCCGACTCGTTCTCGAGGCCAGCACCGAGCCTTGGCGTCCCGGAGCGCAGGCGCGTCCCGGGGGCGGTGCCGCCGGACTGAAGGACTGGAGGGCAAGGAACCGAGAGGGATGTGAAGAGATCTTTTCTTTTCTGGCAGGTGTTCTTTTTCATGGCGGGGGACAGTTGGTTGATGTTTTGTCATTATATGTCATTATTGTTATTACTACTTTACTATTGTTATTATACGATATTTTGTTTAAACATACAGATTAGACCAGAGTGGAGCTTTCCGCGACGATGTCATTTTTGAGATGCCAAATTGCAGGACGATGCCATAAAGACTTTGTTCCCTCTTTTTTGCGTCTGGACGCACCCAGGACGCGGTGCCTGAGCCGGAAGAATCGGAAGGACGGCGGACGTGTGGGGGACGTGCGGGTTGCGAGGCCGACGCACCCCCCCCCCCTGTACTTCAATAGGGTGACTTAGTTGTTCCGTTTTGAGTTTGACGATTTGTTTCACCAGTTCGATGATAGAGTTGGATGAGTTGAAAAAACACCAGTTGTCACTTGTTTACCAGGCCAGTTTGATGAGTTGGATGATGTTAGACTCTGGCCACCGATCCGTGCTCATCGCATCCGATCGATCCGATCCGGTCCACCGGTCCGGTCCGGTCCGGTCCGGGATCAGAAGAGCCGAGAGCCGAGCCGGCGGAGCGCCCTGTCCGGTCCACTGGTTTTGCCATTCTTGTTTGACTCCTGGCCATCTTTTCTCTCAGACTCGGTCAGACCTCAAAAAAGCACGAGTCATGAAGTCGACGGAGTCGAGGGTTTTTCAGCGTCCCTTTTGTGGGTCAGTCGCAGCACAGGCAGCCTTTTCCGGTGCTGCGGGAAGAAATAGGTGCTACGGTCTGGTCATTTTGGGTGGTTCTTGATGGAGACTCTAGGAGGCTGCTCTTGGATGTCGATTCAGACAGCAGACTGCAGACCCTGCACTGGCCAGGAGATTCTTTGCCTCCGGAGCTTTCATTCGCAGAGGACGCCATCGGCCGACGCCTCACCCGAACGCAGGGCAGCTGGACCCCTACTCAAGTGAAGGGCACAACATGAAATTGCCAAGTGTCTATTTTCAATCTCGTAGCCACCTTTGAACAGGATCCCTGTTTCAGGGCAGATGTCACCCCTAAATAGGTCATGGATGCCAGCACATTGGCGATCTAGATTCTGCTTTCAAGAACCGTTGGATCTCCGGTGACTCAACGAGTCAGAGAACGACAAACAGAGTGGACTCCCGGTCGCAAGCTCCGCAAGTTCCGCCCGTGAGCGTCCAGGAGGACTTCTTTCTCACCGAGAATTGAGGCACCAAAGTGCGCCCCAGAGCAAAAAGAGCACGACTGCGAACTGAAGCTGGAAGGGCTGGAAATGGACCAGGAACAGTCACACCAAGAGCCAAGAGGTCTATACCGAAAGAGTGTCCCAGAATGCGGGATGTCCGCTAGCCACATTAGGGGCTTCTACTGCTTGTGCACTCCTCGGGTTTAGAGTGCTCGGAGTGCCCAGAGTCAGAGCCCAGTCTCTGCCCAGCCATTTTCGGTGCGGCGTTGCCTTGGCTCGAGCCAAATCCCACCTGAAGTCCGCTCCGGACCGTTTGGGTGCGGCGTTGCCTTGGCTCGAGCCAAATCCCACCTGAAGTCCGCTCCGGAGCATCATGGGGTGCCGACATGCCAAAGGATTCTGTGGCCACAGCGGTGGAAATTGGTTTGAATCACAATTCAAGTGATTCCGACATGGAATTAAAGAAGAACACAGACGCTGGCCTTGTCATCCAAGCTTTAAGTAGTTTGAGGAAATTCTCAGCTTTCACACCAATGCACGGATGGTTTCAAGCTTTGCTGCAAGAACTTGTGAAGAATCGAATCCGACACCATGTGCTCAAAGTCAGCCATGGATTTGGAAGAAGATGAGGAAATGAAACTGAGCTGTACTTCAAAACTCCTGTCTTCGCTGCCTTTGCTTCCTTTCTTTGTCTCAGACCTGCCCAAGTCCAACGGCAATTTCCTCGGTCGTCGTCGTGGATTCCTTGTTCATTGTCCCCAACGTGTCCAGAACGTTGTCCTTCGGTTGTTGAGGGAACCTCCGGTCTTTCGCAGGTTTCTTTTGCGAAAAGGGTCATTGAAATTGACTACCTCCACAATGAGAAAGTCTTGTTGGTCTCATTTCGGTTGCAAGGAACTGCTGCGAATACCTCCGGGAGGATGGTGAAGTGCGTCATGCTGCGTGGCCGGAAGCATTGCCGGGGCACCGTTTTTCAGCGGACGAAGGTTGCAAAGGATACGCAAGGCGGAGGTGGCTGTGTATCCAAAATCGTGCGCAAGTAGCTTCAGCACGTTTCTTGTGTTCTTTGCGGACTGGTGAAGGAAACAGGTGAAGCCGCTGCAAAATTGGTTACAGACCGTTTTGTGAAAGACTTTGATCTATCTCTGAAGAGACGGATCGTGCAAGAACTGCAACTGGATGGGCTCATGGTGTAGGACCCCCTCGAGGTTGTAGGATGGGCATTTCCTTGAAACTTGACCATTGTTAGTTCCATGGACACCCTCAAGTCAAGAAGGCTCTACTGTATAAAGTATCATGTTTCAGCGTGTCTCCGAGTCTCTCCTGCCTCTGGGAACTTCAAGGTCTTGCAATGCTTTTGCGAGTGCAACGATTTGGATAGCCTGGCGGATGACTGCATCAAGTGCTGTTGCGAGGGCCAGCGGTTGCAAGGAGCGTTGACTGCTTGGTCAAGCAGCGATTGAGAGGTCAAGTGTGTACAGGATCGTCGGACCGTTTCTCGCGGTGAAAACGCCTAACTGGTTGACTCGGTATATCGGTGTTTTGGGGTGGATGTTTTAGAGCCCGTAGGTGCCGTGATTTCCGGTTGAGAGACTCCACACGACACATGAAGAGACACCAAGAGTGTACTTCAATGGAGCATGCTGCTGAGCTGCTGAGATTGCACGTTGAGAATCGGCGAAGGGTTCCCGCTTTTCTTTTTGCACCGGCACCGTCATCTTCTCCAAACAATGGAGAGCTCGCCCGAACACCAATCTCTCTAGTATGGCAGTTAGCCACGCAACCACACAAACATTCGACCAAACCCCGTTTGCTCCACCAGTCCAGCAGTCCAGCTTCCCATCGACGACCCTCCTTCGTCTTGGAGGCCCCGCGCTGCGGGAGAAGCTGCGGCGCGTCTGCTGGAGCTGCGCCGAGCGCTTTCGGATGCCGTGGCCCGGAGGCGCCGTCGAAGTGCCGTGGCCCGGCGCCTGGGCCGCGCTGCTGGTGCTCTGGGCACTCCGGAGGTCGGACGAGCCGGGAGAGTGGAGAGTCAGCCGTCGGACCGAGCGCTTTTGTCCGACTGGTTGGATCCAGCGTCGGTGCTCCCGATGAAGCCGAAGCCTGAAGCCGAACGAGCCGAACGAGCCTGAAGTCGACGCCCGAAAGGATCGTGGGTGCCGAATTCCCCGACAGGTCAGGAAACGGACCCCATTTTGCTGAAGTTGATCAAAAACACTGCTCAACACAGGTTTTCAGGACCAGGTTTGGACCTGGGTCAGGCTGCACGTAAAGGTCTGGAAGACCATGAAATTCTCTACAAGGATGTCAGTGCCATCCACATGTTGACTCGGAGTGGGATGAAGGACCTCGCTTCGTCCCTTTTGACAAGGGCTCTTGGGGGGGCGCAAGAGACTGAATGTACTTCAGAACCGTTTTGTCTACCGTGACGACACTGCCGGACTCGTGACGGCCCCAGCCAACCCGATCCACCCGGAGTGGAGTGCTGGAAAAAGAACAGGCTCCTGGAGCTGTCCACTTGGCTCCCCTGGGTTGCTGGTTGGCTCCTGTTGGGCTTTGGTCATCTGCTGCTGATCCATTTGATGTGCTTGGCGCTGCCGATGAGGCCAGGTGGAGAGAGCCATCAGTTCTCACAACTGATCTTCTGCTGTTAGGAAGATCCCACCATTTTCTACTTTTCTTTTCGATTTGATTCGATGCCCGAATCCGGACGTTGTGCTTGCAAATGGACGTGAAAAATAGATCATACCGATGATTTGGGTGCGTGTACAAGAACAAGAAGAGATCAACTTGCCCAACCAGCCTCTGATTAAGTGAAACGGGCCGTTGCGGCAGTTCATGGTTATTTGATTTCGCCCCATCGGTCTAGGTCGGAATACCTGGTGGCCTGGGTCTTCTTCTCCATCATGGGCCTCTATGGGGACTATTCACGGGAGGTTTGGCCCAATCAAGCTCTTGGGCCTCGAGTGGCTAGCCATTTGCTACTGCTGGAGGTTGTGGTGACCTTTGGAGCTTCTGCCGCTGGGAGTGAGCTGCTGCTGCCGGTCAGAGTTGGGATAGGCTTTGGGTGGCTTTTGGCTCTACTTCAACTGGGTGTGTTGCGGTCAGGTGGAGTGAGGGGCTCGAGCCCCCTGGACATTCGGTTTTTGATGTTGGCTCGGTGGGGAAACTCTGACATCCAGCCCAAAACGGGTGTAGATACATAAGGACTTGGCAAGGAAAAGGTCTTGACAAGGACTCCCCTTCGCATTGGTCGCGTTGGAGACAGGTCATTTCTCTAGTGCGGACAAGCTGTGCATTAGCCCGTTTGCAGACGCCAAAACCAACTGGTGCATGACAAAATGCCTTACAGGTGGCCCTGAAGCCAAAGAAAGACGAGGACCGAATTGTGTGCTGCAGATCCTTTTTTGCCCTGACGAGGTGGTCATCGGTTCCCGGTTGATGAGGTCTTCATGTTCAATGACCTAAAGGCAAATCCTTTTTCCTGGTGACAGTAGTCCATCTCAGCATTGATGGGACTGACTCGCAGTTTTGGTGTTTGATCCCAGAAGATAGACATGGCTGCGTGGCCTCCGTGGCCAACTCTGTGAGGAGCTCAGTGCTGGAAGCTTTCCGTGCAGAATTTGTGGGCGATCTATCCATGGACGAGATCACCATTGTGCCAGGGCCACAGTTGCGATCATACAGTGCCCACAAGTGTGGCAAGATGTCAGTGGTTTTGGAAGACCTGATTTTGTTAAGTTTCCCCAAAAATCTAATTAGCAAATCGTTAGTGCGAATGCTTCTTCAATCAAGATCCCGCCCTCAGGCGGGGGGCAGCTTCCTTGAAGAAGCCTGAGTTATACTGCAAACTAGTCGCCCTTACTTGTACAATTAAGTAGGAGGAGGCTCAAAATAAGGGACAAGTCTAACGGTCCGAGGTTTGGATCAACCAGTGCGTGGGGACGCATAACCACCGGAGCTTTCTCCTCTTTTTGCTGGGCTTGACCTTGCTTTCGTGGTCCTATGCGCGGATGCTGTGCTTCGGCGAAGGAGACCCAAGGATTGGCCTTTGGAATGGCCACGCATGCACAGTCCTCAACAGGTTTGCTGACAGTTCTTTTTGGTAGAGTTATATATTATATGACTATTCAACGGAGTCAGAGCTTAAAGATTTTTGATGACGACCAACAATTATGCATATGCTTCCCCCCAAGACTCTTGGCTCAAATCGGACACCCCAGCGGAGGGGGAAGTTCCTCACCCCCCATCCTGTTGGAACCCATTTTTCATCTCCTCAGAGGCTTATGGAGTTTGCCCGCCGTGCGAGATTGGAGGGATTGGGCACGATCTGGCAGAAGCAACGCGTGCCGCTGCTTGGTGTGGAAGTGGAGGAAGGGCCTGGGAAGTGAGGAAGATGGATGAACCCCAAATCTCAAAAAACATCAAGCTCTGCAGTCTGCAGAGCCTGAAGACGTTGAAAAACGACATGGAAGATGACATGGAAGGGTTGGATGGGTGCGAACATTCAACAAGTTCCCAACACAACATTGAGAAACTCAGAACTTCTCTGAGAGTCAATGATGACATGCCCAACTCTCACTTCCCTGGATATTGGCACCAAAGGGAGCGGACCGATTCACCCCAGAACTGTTCCGCTCGCCTCCGTGGAAGACGAAGACGCCAGATCGAAGGGGTCCCGTGTGCATCATGCTGGTGCTGCCATGGCTTTTTTTCCAGGATCGCTCACCAATTTGATCCGTTCAAATTGAAGGCCATGCTTGTGTAAAGGACCCTTTTTCTTTCCCTTCGATCTCCCCATGAAAGAAAGTCGAGGCCTCCTTTGGAGGGTGCCGTCTACGCTGCTGCTGGCGGCATCTTTACAATGGTGCTTTTGCTGGCGCAAGTCGTGTCGATCAGCAATTTGAAGGCATTCAATAGGTTCAACAGGTCTTGAGTTTTTTGATATGTTTGAATATGGCAATTTATTCTCGAGGTACTGGTTTGACGAATCAACGGCGTGGATTAATTCGTTCACGGAATT